ATGTTTGCATTTCCTCCAAGGCCATAAACAAACAGTGAGGCTGTATTTGATCTTACTTTCAAAATAAAATAACAAGTGTCACCATAAAACATCATTTCAAACTCTTGATTAACAAGAATCTTTTCATCTTTGGTATCGTAAGACTGAGTTCATTTTCTGTTTGCATTACTTCCCAATTTTGCAAGAATATATACCACACTGTCATCGTGAACTAGAAGAGACACTAAGGAAGCTGGCATAAAAATTAGTAGGCCAGAGAGATAACTCAGTGGACTAAAGTGCCTGCTTAGGCAAGTTTAGGCAAGTGCAGAAACCCCTTGATCCTTAGCACCACATGCTGCACCAGCCTCGCCCCCATGGCTGGCTGAGCCTGCCAGAGTCCAGGGTGTGGTGGTACATGCCTGTAATCCAGTGCTGAGGGCAGAAGGATCACCATGAGTCCAAGCTGCATAATGAGACCCTGCAACAACCAAATGTTTTTTAAAAATTTAATAGATTCCCAGTGTATCTGTATTTTATTAATAATAGCTAAAATTTATTGGATGTTTACTATGAGCTAAGATCATTAAATGTCTTACCTCATTATTCATTCATTAAGATTGTATTTACTGCGCTCTTACTGTATTCCTCGCTCTGTTCTAGAAGCTAGAGTATAACAGTAAACAAAAGCAGACAGAAATGCTGGCCCTCACAGAACTTAGCTTCTCTCTGCCTACTAGTTGGGGTGGGGTAGAATAGATAAAGTAAGTAAAATGTTTCATCTTTCAGATATGATAAATATTGTTGAGCTTTTTGGATTGGGGTATTGTTGAGTGGGTAGTTCTCAAAGGGGTTTAGAAGCTATGGCATGCCAATTGGAAGGAGCTAGCAACATTAAATAGGGTAGTTAAAAAGGCCTTACTAATAAGATGACAGCTGAGCCAAGTCTGGGAGGTGAAGCAGTATACCATGTTATGTGTGACAGAAGAGCAGTCCAGGTAGATGGCACAGCTGGTGCCAAACTTTGAGCTAGAAGTTTTTCTGGAATGTTTAGTTAACAGTGAAAACAGCTAATAGGATATGAAAATGTGCTCCCAGACCTGCAGCAAGGTGAGAAGAGTGGGGAAATGAAGTTGTAGGCCATTTTAAAGTTCTTGGGCTTTTTACAGACAGCAAACTGTTAGAAGTTGGCAGACTAAGGAGTTAATATGCTCTGATTTATTTGTGGAAAGATCATCCTACATTGAGAATAGACTGCAGAGGAGCGGGGACAGAAGCAGAAACACTGATTATAAGGCTCTTAAAATCCTCAAAATGAGAAGTAAGTAGCCAGACCTGGATACAGTGATTCAGTGGACAAAGAGGGTATATCTTACAGAGCCAGTAAGTATGACAGATGTATGATATGAAGTATATGTGAGAGACAAGTCAAGGTTGTTGATTTTTGGCCTAAGCAACTGGAAGCAGACTTGCTAATAATAAAATGGGAAAGATAATGGGAGGCACATATTTTGGGGGCAGGTTTTGGTTTTTGTTTCAAATGTGAGAACCCACACAGACTTTTTTTTATTATTAATTTTAATGAAATCGTAATGAGAGAGTTTCAAAACAGGTTTGTGGGACAGTTACAATAATTAATACATTGCATATTGTTGTCTTTGTAGTAGTTACTCAGAGTACAAGATGTAGGCATGATATCTTGTCTAAACACTATTAATACAAATCTTTCTTCTCATTGAACTAAGAGAAAGTATCTATATATCTATCCTGTTTGTATATACAGGTATATATATATTTTTTTCACTAAAAAATGGTCCTTCATTTATATCTCCCATTTTTATTTTGTTTTGTCAGAGATGGGTGTTCCATTGCCATTCAGGTACTGTAGGTGCTTGAATTCAGCATAATAACCCAATATAGTCCCATATCCACAATAGTAGTGGGTTATCAGCAAAACTGGCAATGTCAGAAGTTGTTGACTTGAGCATTTTACAGCTCAGCATATTAATATGGCTTTATTTTTTATACGTAGTGGCTATACTTTTCTGCTGGATGATTTAAGACCAAGTTAAAGTAAGACCTATATAACTAAAAATGTAACTTTTGTATCTGCAAGGTCAGTCAAATCCCCTAAGGATTTACCCTGAAATCATGTGCAGCAGTTTGTAGATCTTTTGGCAGTGTCAGCCATCTGAATAAGTCACAGCCATTGCTTGACCAGTTTGCTCTCTGTGAAATCCTGAGAGAATGTTTTCTCTCTAGGTGACTGTCCTTAGGCACACTATACATTGTCGATCACTCTGTGGACCCATAATCTCCTTGAACAGAAAATTTGGGAGACCACGGAGTTACAGGATGCTACAGTACAGGTTCTCTTACATCCTGAGTCCTCACAGACCTTGAAGGGCTAATGCCAAAACATTGGCTATCTTTATAGCCCTTCTTTTACTCTAATTTTTGATCTGCAGACTTAAGTTATTAACCATCCAGAAGAGAAGCTTAAATAGAGAATACAAATGTGCAGTTGAGAGATAATTCTTGCTAAAGGATAAATACATTAGAACTGTTACTTTATTAGACTAAGAATGAAATAAGTAAATTCAACAAATTCCATGAAAGTTTTGCTTTACATTTTCAATCAGTAACACAGATTTTCAATGTCTATTTTATACATCTTTATTGGCTATATAACTACTTTCCACTCTTAAAATTTTGACATCTTTAACTTTTGCTCATTTGCTACCTATTTATTTATTAAGCACTGTAGGTGTGGGTCAGCAAACTTTTTCTGTAAAATGTCAGATGGTAAATGTTTTAGCTTAATAAGCCATGTAGTCTTTGTCACAACTCTAGCCTTGAAACATGAAAATAGCTGTAGATAATCTCTAAACGGATATATGTGGCTATTTTCTAACAAATTTTACAGACACTAAAATTTGAATTTCACATAATTTTCAGGGGTTACAAATATTCTTTTTATTTTTGACTATGTAAAAATGTAAAAACTGACCAGGGATATAGCTCAGTAAAATAAGCACTTGCCTAGCAAGCACAGGGTCCTGAGTTCAATCCCTGGTACCACAAAAAATAAATACATAAAAATGTAAAAACCATTCTGAGTTTGCTGGCCATTCAACAACCAGAGTAGGCCAGATTTGGCCTATATACCATACTTTGCTGATCCTTGTTGCACATTCTGAACAAAGGGAGATGCAATGCACGAAACAAAAATTTCTATCCCTGTGCAACTTACATTATCTAATAAGGCAGCAAATAAGCAGAGATCAGTAACTACTTCAGTACACTGAAAGGTGATAGACAAGTGCTATAAAAAATTAGAAATAGTGTATGCACTAAAGGGAGGATCTGGAGTCCTGGGGATAGAAACAAATGTATTAAATAATACCCTTTGCTCTGAGGGGTCATAGGAATGTGCCTCTGGACAATTGTATAGTAACTCCTCTTTTCTTATGTCCTGTACATTTAAGGAAAAGCCAGAAGTACCATGGCAGTACAGGTAGTGCTTCTTTTGGGAAAACTTCTACTTGAATCCATACCAGTCAAGTCAGCTTCCAATGAACTACATAGCTCTATTGATATGATTCTCATTGGACTCTCTCATCATTGCCTCTTGGTTTATCTTGGCCTTTAGCATATGATTCAGGTCAATAGAATATCTTATTTGAGGGGTATAAACATGGCATAGTTTTCTCATTAATGAAGCCAGAAATCTTGCCTTAAGACAAATTGTATCATGTATTTGTATAAACACAGAATAATTTATAAACAAATTAATGTCCTTTTTAGAGAGCTTATTATTTGGTGGTGGATTGTTCTATTTATTATTAGTTACTGTCTCTGCTCAGAAGTTTCTGTTTTCCTTGAGTTTTCTATTTAAGGAAACAGGAAAAGTTTGAAGATTTTTATTTCCTATTCATCTTTTTCTTTCCTATGGCAAGAAACCCCGTACAAGCAACCTGCTTGCAACATCAAACAAAATTAATTGGCAGATGAGCTGTCTTTGTTTCTGGATTCAGTAATGAACATAAGAAATAAACTTATCCAAGTTCATGTCTAGCGCTGCCTCTTTTCCTCCAGTCTCTAAAACAGAAAGAGCAAGGATTAGATTTTTCTCCTCTTGATTAGACCTACACTTCCTCAGAGATCTTGTTCTGTTCACTGTCTCCTGCCTCCTGTCTTTTTGCAAGTTCTTCATCACTTTCTTACATGCTCAGGTCTCTCCTATCTAGAAAACAAACTCCTCCTAAGAATGCCCAGTCTAATCTGTCCCATGCTTCTCAAAGTAATACAGAACTACTCTCCCCCTTCCTTCAATGTGTATTTAATGTTTTTACATTTCTTACTGGATAATGTAATGTACATACTGAAAACTGGGTTAATTATGTGTACAATTTAATGAGTCAGTTATATGATACATACCCAGGTAACCACTTACATGTGGCAAGAAATAGATTGTACCTACTCTTAAAATTATGTGCCGTTCTCTCCCTATTAGAAGTAACAACCATCCCGACTTTTGTAATTAGTTCTTCATACTTTTTTTTTTTTTTTTTTACCATTGTATACATCGTTTTGGTATTTACCCTACTACATTCTACTTTTTCTACCCTCAGAATAATTTTAAATTTTTTAGTAAAGTTATTTATGAATAGTTACACATGAAATGGATGTTGCTCAACATTGATGTTATTAGGGCTCTGCTGTACCTCAACCTGATAGATCAGTTTATCCTTCCTGAACTTAGTTTTAAGGCCTGTACTTCTGTTTTTCTATGTCTCTGCACCCTTGAGCCTTTCTTTCTCTGTTCCTTCTTCTACAAGGTCCTCTGCCTGCCCCTTAAATGTTGCAGTGTCGCCAAGATTTTTATTCACTATCACTTTACATTAAACTCTAAGAAGCAGTATTTCAAAGCAATCTCCTACATAAAAAGCACTTTTAAAGAACAAGATTTGAACTGTCTTCTAACATTTGTTAAACCCTCACAAATACTTATCTTGCAGACCAAACCTGGCCCACCCAAAAAGCCAAAGACTCCTTCTGGACAGTCAGCCTTGGTGTATTGCTACAACTGTGCACAAAAAGGCCATTATGGACATGTAAGTTTGAGTAATATTTGGGCATTAAGTATTCTGTTGCCAGGGAGTGGTTGCTGAAAGATGAACTCAAAAAGAATATAATTCTGAATGCTTATTTGTTTACAAACTAACATTCAGAGGTAGACTTAATATATTTCCAACTAAATTATTCATCCTGTCCTTACCAGAGTGAGTCTATCAGAGCATATTTCTTTAATAACTTTAAATGTCTATGAAAACGAATATAGTTCATAAAGCCAGTCAGACAAATAATAGTCAACAATATGGTAGTAGTTCTCTTGAGTTCATATACTTACTGTTATTTTGACACAGGTACTTTATATTTTAAATATTCTACTTAGTTCTCCAGTTTTTCTTACTACTGTATTCAATTAAACTTGTAATCCCTGACACACAATTATGGGTAAGACAGAGATGTGGTGGACATTAATCTCCTGACCATTTGCCACATTAAGTATGAAACAGCAGCAGCTCATCCCAGAGACAACATGCAATAAAAAGACTCAGAACCCATATATGTTAGGAATTTTGAGGCAGAGGAAAAAGGACAGTGGCACAGAAAGTAGAGAACCCCTGTATGGCATGATTTATTTCTGTTCACCAGATAGACATCTCACAGCCTAGAAACCAAGGTAAATAGCAGATTGAATGGCAGGAGGGAGAGAGCATACAGAGGTTTAGAAGCCCTCAAAGTGAGTAGAGGGATGAACAATAAATGAGGTAATTGTAAGTCTCTTGAAATCCATCCATGACACTTTATTATATTGATCCTGAGAACACTGCATTATAGGGAGATAAAAAAGTTGGGAGAAGAAAAGGTGCTAAAACAGAATCCAGTAATGGATCACTTATGTTCCATTTTGAGGTAGCAGAAACAGAAGTGGGAGTGGATAGAATATGAAAACTAGGTTAAAACTTTGGTCCTCAGTTCTAATTTTTGCTCTACTGCCAATAACCAGGTAAGCTGAACATTATTTTTCTTCTTGTCCTTAATCTTTATCTCCAGAGCAAAGAGGATATACAGGAAATCTCTTGGCGCTGACATTTGGGTGCTGTTTCTAGTATGATCAAACTTATCCTGTGGTGATACAGATCCTACAGTATTCTTACTTCCTATTCTTTAGAATTCACATTGAAAACCTCATTAGAGAAGATTTCTTTTATAAAATTATCATCTCCAGATCTTTACTGCTCCATTCATTTATCCCTGTTAGCAATATTTAGAGAACATAGTCACATAAGTAGTCCCCTGACGCATAAGTCATACAGATATACAATTTATGCCTACTTACTTCTTTAAAGCAAAAGGTATGATTTTAGCATTTATGTTTGTTCAAAGAAAACAATTATAGTTGGGTACGTACGCTTACTAGTCTTTCCTGCTAGTATAAATAGGAAATCCATTAAAAACATTTGGAATTTATCCCCGAAATCTAGATTTAGATTATTTTTAATTTATAATAAAGCAAATTTGGCAACCTCATAACTGACATAGATGAAGAACTCTAAATTATCCAGCACTAATGAAGAAGATCAGTGGTGTGGCTAATCCAGAATAGTAGATAAATTATGTAGCCAACTATCAATTGTCTGTGCTAATGGAGGGGACCAGTGATGTGGATAATCAAAATATGATTTACATTTAACTTTGGAAAACATTTGTAGTACTGGATAGCTCTGTATAGTCATATCAGCCTAGACTGTCCAAATAGGAGAGGATGCATTGCAGACAGTTAAAGAGGACCCCTCCTCTTCAGTTTCTGAAATTCAGCCTTACAAATGTTATTATTAAATAGATTCTTCATGTGAAAGATACATTTCACTTCCATACTTCCATTCATTCTCCAGCTAGTAAGGCAAGAACAGTAGTCACTATATTAAATGACTACTCAGCAAGATATGAAAAAGGGTGAATAGGGGCTTCAAAGGTTCTGTTTATATAGGTAATAAATGAATGCAGCAAGATTTCTCATAATCATAATTTGATCCTATGTTGTATGATTAGAACTCAGTACAGAGCCGGCCAAAAAGCTCAGCGGATTAAAGCACCTGCAAGCAGATGCAAGGGCCAGGGGTTCAGTCCCTGGGCTTGCCATGCCAGCCCTGCCCTGGGGCATGCTGAAACAGCAGTTGAGACTAGGCGTGGTGGCATGTGCCTGTAATCCCAGCTCTTGGGAGGCTGTAAACAGGAGA